GCTGGATATAGTAGGAGAGAAGGTGAAGAGATAATTCCAACTAACCAGAAACCTATATGAAGATAGTGACATGGAATGTGAGGGGGTTTAATAAGGTTCATAAGCAAAAGGAGATGAAAATTTTCTTGGAAAAACAAAAAATCAATCTTATAGTAGTAGTTGAGCATAGAGTACAGAGTAATAAAGAAAGGGAGGTTATAAATAAATGTGCACCAGGCTGGAGTTGGTGCTCAAACAGTAAGGTTAATGAAAGAGGTAGAATTTGGATTCTATGGGATGCAAATAGTATTCAATTCACTATGTTGCAATCTCATACTCAATATATTCATGGTATAGTCAAAAATAGTAACTCCAGCAAGCAGTTTGCATTTACAGCTATATATGGACTGCATACTGCTGCTCACAGGTGTGATATGTGGGAAGAATTAAGGAAAATTGATTCACAGATAGATAGTAATTAGCTGCTCATGGGGGATTTTAATGTAGTACTGGACAAAGACGATAGGGTAAATGGTACAGAAATACAAGACAATGAAATCAAGGATTTTAGAGCTCTAATGGAGGATTGCAGGTTAAATGAACTAAGAACTGTGGGAAGAACATACACATGGACAAACAGCCATGTATTTAGTAGAATTGATAGAGCTATTGTAAATGCACGGTGGATGATGAATATGCCACCATTACAAGTTGCTGTGATGGATCCTCACTTCTCTGATCACTCTCCTTTATGTATAGAGGTAGAGGCAGGAATGGAGTATAAAGGGAGACCTTTCAAGTTTTTCAACTGTCTTACTGAACATTCAGAGTTTGAAGAAATAATAAGAAGCAGCTGGAAAAAGGAGAATAGAAATATGAAGGATATATGGTATAATCTAAAGCAGATCAAAGAAGAGATGAAAAGTTTGAACAAAAGAGAGTTCTCCAATACAACAAAGAAGGTGCAGCAGCTAAGGGAAGAATTATCGAATATTCAAGCACAGATGAGAACAACTAACACAGCAGCTGATGCGTTTGAGGTGGAGAGAAACACAAAGCAGCAATTAGAGAAAAAATGGAGTAATATAGAAGAGAGCATCTGTAAGCAAATGTCCCGAATACAATGGATTCAGCTAGGTTATTCCAACACAGCTTTTTTCTTTGCAAGCATGAAAGGGAGAGTAGCACAGAATCAAATAAAAAGTTTAACAGATAGCAATGGAAGAGTGATCAGCAATCCAGAGGGTATTGAACAGGAGATAGTGGGGTTCTATGAAGGGTTATTAGGGAGATCAACTAGTAACATGCCTACTATTAATCCTAGCATAATGAGGAATGGTCCAAGACTTACAAGATCACATCAGCTTCAACTTATAGCCCCTTTTACTAAGGAAGATGTGCAGACATCCTTGCAGGGGATTGGTGACTCAAAGGCTCCAGGTGGAGATGGTTTCAGTGCCTACTTCTACAAGAAGACTTGGCATATAATTGGAAAAGACATTACAGAAGTTGTTCTGAAGTTCTTTGATGATGGTATAATGTATAAGCCAGTAAATAGGACAACAGTTACTTTGATCAGAAAAGTGAAAAATCCTTCTTCTATAAAGCAGTTTAGGCCAATATCCTATTGCACTATAGTTTACAAAATTATTTCCAAAATGCTCACAAATAGGCTGCAGTCAGTAATGGGAGACTTAGTTGATCTGAGTCAGGCAGCATTTGTACCAGGGAGAATACTGAGTGACAATGTTCTACTAGGACATGAACTTGTTAAAGGATATGGGAGAAAAGGTGTGTCACCAAGATGTATGGTCAAAATTGATATGCAAAAGGCATATGATTCTGTAGAATGGTGTTTCCTTGAACAAATACTTGCAGAATTGAATATCCCAGGGAAATTTCTTTCTTGGATCATGGCATGTGTTACTACAGTGTCTTATGCTATTGTGGTTAATGGAAAGCCAACAACTCCTTTTGATGCTAAGAGAGGAGTTAGAAAAGGTGATCCATTATCACCATACTTGTTTGTGCTAGCTATGGAGTATCTTACAAGGATCTTGAAGACTCTTAGAGAGAACCTGACTTTAATTACCATCCTAGATGTGAGAAGCTGAATATAATCCAACTCAGTTTTGCAGATGACTTGTTGCTGTTTTGCAGAGGAGATGTGGTGTCTATACAGCTATTGTATGAATGTTTTCAACAGTTTTCAAAGGCTTCAGGACTGATTGCTAATCAGGAAAAAAGCTGTATCTACTTTGGAGGGGTTACTGAAGATATTCAGCAAAACATTATTCAGTGCTTAGGTTTTTCTAAAGACTCTTTGCATTTCAGATACTTGGGAGTCCTATTGAGTAGTACAAGATTATCTATTACTCAATGCCAACCTTTACTCGATAAGATGTTAGGTAGAATCAAAAACTGGACAGTAAAGTTTCTGCCTTATGCAGGCAGGTTACAGCTGATCAAAAGTGTTCTGTTTGCTATCCAATCATTTTGGTCACAGATATTCCCTCTACCTAAGAATATCTTACAAGCAATTGAGACAATTTGCAAGAGGTTTCTGTGGACAGGTGAAACAAAAACCAAAGCAAAAGCCTTAGTAGCTTGGAGACAGTTATGTTGGCCACAATCTGTAGGGGGTCTGAATATCACAGATATGGTTATATGGAATAGAGCTACACTAATCAAACAACTGTGGAATCTAAACATGAAGAAGGATAGATTGTGGATACAGTGGATTCATGCTTACTACATCAAGAGGCAAGTAATATGGCAAGTGAAAGCTAACCAAGCTTCATGGTTGATACAAAAAATTCTGGGAGCTGGTAAATACTTAATTGAGGCCAACATAGCAATTGAAGAAGTGCTCAGCATGAAGAAGTACTCCATCAGATTGATATATAACAAGTTGAGAGGTGATCTACCTAAAGTGGAGTGGAGGAGAGTACTGTGTAACAACTGGGGCAGTCCTAAATAGAGATTCATTTTGTACTTGGCAATCCTGGAAAGATTATATACAAGAGACAAATTACTGGGATGGGGCATAGCAATAAGTTCAGCATGCTCATTATGTGAAAGTGTAGCAGAAAGTCATGAGCACCTGTTCTTTCAATGCAACTACTCAGAAAGTATATGGCGTAAACTGCTACAATGGATGGGGATACAAAGGGATGTACAAGGATGGGATGTTGAAAAACAGTGGGCAATAAGGCATGGATCAGGAAAGAAGCAAATGTGTGCAACATTCAGAATGGTACTCGCCTGTGCTATTTATTATATTTGGCAGGAACGAAACTGGAGAACCTTCATAGGAACACAAAGAAGCAGTGAGGAAATGATCAAACTGATAATCCAAGAAGTGCACTGTCGTGGAATGTTGAATTCTAAGATAGCGAGACATTTACAGAATTTCAATTTTTATCCATAGTTTGTAGGTGAGTAGCTATGTAGTTATGAGGACACTAGATTTGGGGCTGCATGTCCAAATCTATGTGAGTTTTGAGGGTTCTTGCTATACTTGTAAATATTTTCCCTGGTAATAAGAAATTTAATTACCATAAAAAAATAATATATTTTTATGAGCGAGACCAAATAAAGGAAGTGAAAGTAATTTCTTTTGCCACAGTGATGTCTAGCAGTGTTTACCTCGAAAATACGAGTAACAATTAAATTTGATTTGTGATTTTAAAGATATATGATTTAGTTCAATACTGATTAATAATCAAGAAATAAGAAGTAGAAGTCAAAGAAACAAGTGAATCAAACCAATGTTATTCAGCAATAGCGACCTCGAGCTTAGTGACCTCGAGATGGATTAAGAGCAGTAAAGTAAGAACAATAAATGTAAAGGACAATTCTGATGAACAGTAAGAGAGAAAAGTAGGATAGTATATTCTTGCCAATGATCAGATGATGTTACAAATGATTGGGGTCCCCTTTATATAATAGGGGAAGCCTGAATAAGGTATATTTCTATTTACAGTAAGAAATATTCTTGGCACAACTGTCTAACCGCCTAGTACGGAATAGTACAATCCTATTCCGGAATTCGCGCCGTGATCTTGGGGACGTGGCAGGGATCTAGCAGGAATCTAGCCCATTCTGTTACAAGTCTATAACGGTACTATTCCGAGGTCGAGCATAATCGACCTCGGTATGTATTGTGCTCTGCTTTCGAACTCGGGTCTGGTCCCTCGAGCTCGAACTTGACCTTGCCTGAACTCGGACTTTGGACGACCTCTCGAGCATATAGATTGAAGGCATACGATCTCGACCGTATACAAGCAGTAATTTCAAAAGAAGCCGGAAAACTGATTTTCTTTTCACCGTCTGCCATTTTACATCTTATACCTCCTCCGGAAATGAAAACAAGAACAATTTGAGACTATACATCCCAAAAGTCCTCATCAAAATAACAAAAGTGTCATAGCAAAGCATATCTCAAGTTTACTTGTTCTATAAAAATGTAGTGCGTAAACCTAATGCTTAGAACCATACATGTGTTAGGACCACTTGTTAGGACCGAAAAAGCAGGTGTCATGCGGAAGCTAGCAAAGCAAACCTTGAACGACGATAAATCATACAATAAATAGAAATCTACCAAAAGGGACACAAACATTTAACGTGGTCAACTGACCTACGTCCACAATGGAGATGAGCAATCCACTATAATAAAAAGAGAGTACAAAATATCGAGAGAACAACCTCACGAAGAGGCAAACACAAGTGACACACCAACACTTGTCCCGTAAAGTTCTCCCCCTAGACACGACTTTCAAGCCCCCTATGGCTACATTGTGGATGCTCCTGAATGTGAAGGAAGGATCCTCAATTTATAGAAGTCCAAGAAGGATCCTCAATTTATAGAAGTCCAAGCCTTTTCCTACAAGAAAAAGGACTAGCCAAAGATTGGAGATTTATAATTTCCTTTTACAAAAAGGAAAACCCAGTTAAGGTAATTATATTGCCCTTTTCCATCAAGAGATAGGAAAACCAAATATGGTAAGAAAATTATGGCAAACACCTAACAACATGATCTACGATTTAGTGTCAATAGATTCAGAATCAGTGTGATCTGCATATGTATACAATTTACAAAAAAAAAAAATCCTCACATATGTATACATAATTCGAGCGTAAAGCAATAAGTTCAGTTGAACTCACAAAAACCGCTCTAAATCCCTCTCTACTTAAAACTTCAATTATCTATTAAGCGAAGGAAAAGGGGTTGGTGCAAAATTGGTCCTCTTGACAAATCTTCCTTTCATTCGAGGCCTCTTCTCAGCATTCAATTTCCTGACCTCGTACCTTATTTTCTTGGAGAACAACCTCGTTCGCCGCTTCTCCTTGTACCTTAATACTCTTGCTTCTCTTCCTTCATCTACCACTGGTCCATGTCCTGTCATTATTTCCATGTCTCCATATGCATGAATTTTTCCACAATTTCCCTACAAGTGTAGATCAATTTATGAACAATTAGCTCATTCCGTTATCTCATACCACTAGAAAAAAGGAAATTGGAAACAGTCCTCCAAAATGGGGGATATTTCTTAGGTCAAAGAATAATATCATAGTAAGACAAACGTAGTAAGTAACCAAATAATACTTCTTTTCACATGCATTAACAAAAAAGAAAATATTCAAGTTGTTATAGTTGCTTTAGAAGTTTTGAAACGATTTAAGTGATCTACACTAGTAATGCATAAAAGTTAATTCCTCTGTCCAAATTTATATGATAGTACAGTTCAGATTTCGAGAGTCAAACGAGTTTTTCTTTGACCAAATTTTTTTTTTCATAGGCCATTTGAATATTTTGAATTGTTAATTATTGTAACTTGTACTACTTGTTATATAGTTTTCAAATATGTAAATTTTATTTCAAAAAATTTAAAGATTCTATGTTCGGATCCACAGTTAAAATTAAAGAATTTAACTCTTGAAATCCGAATAGTATCGCATAAATTAGGACGGAGGAGAAGTATTTCTTTAGTTCTAGCATGCCACTTTGAAAGATTGAGAATGTCTAGAAAATTTCTACTTCTAGTAGCCATACAATGCAAAATATACAATAAAGCAAGTACTGGCCTTCTTGGGCCGTTAGCAAAGTGAATCTAACACAATTTACCAATATTCAGAGGATTAAACTAATATCTACTAACAGTATCGCAACGAAATCTTCGCATTATCAGTAAAATTTAATTTATTATAAAATATTATTTGTTTTTGTTTGCCAATTTTAACCTAAATAGTCACTCACCCAACTGCTTAAACTAAAAATAGCCGAAGGATATATATTATATGAATGATTCATATATAATATGTATACAACAGCATATAATAAATGTATAATCTATGTATAGTTGTATACTGGGCAGAAAAAATAAATAATGAATCCGGTCAGTTTTTTGTATGAAGAGAAAGAAGTATACCATGCATATTGGCCAGCAGTCATTGGAATCTACTTGAGGTCGCTCGCCGGTTGTCCAAGGAGACCTTTGATCAGCCCAAGCATTTAAAACACCTCCATAATCAAGATTTAGCAAAATCTTATTATTTTTTCTGTCACTAATTAGACCATCATTAGTACTATCCCGCATATTTATCTCCCCAACTTCACCTTTATCATCTTCTTCTAAGGTAATAACCGGTGAATCGCAGTCGAATTTGAGATCAAATGTATCTGAATAATCAACTTGATTATAATTAGTACTATCCATTTCTCCTTCATTTTCAACCTTAATTTTCTCATCAATAAAAGTACAACCTATTGAATCATCATGTTTCTCCAAAAACCCTAACCCTAATTCCATGTAATTAAATGACTCCTCATCATCAAGTCCTTTCCCTAATAAACTTTCAACATCTGCTGCAAATTCTGCTAGCTCCATTTCAGATGGAATATTAAGCATCCCATGAAACCTATTCATATGATGATCATCATTAAAATCATTTTTCATTTCTTTAGAATATTCATTCCCTAGAGCATCATCGGCTACGAATGGGTCGAGAATAGGGACACGATAAAGGAGTTGCTCTTCGTTTTCATCTTGTGAATTCTCATCACTTAATATCTCTGGGACGATAAGCTGAATAGGGTTTTTAACGTTTCTTGAATTCTTACCATTCCTTGGGGTTCGAGCTTTTCGAGTAAATCCACGGTGCCAAGATGGCACTGAGGCTGAATTTTCCGAATTGGAAAATTCATCTGATGATTTAAGAGATGATGTTTTAAGACGAACCCTTTCGTGCCTACGGGCCAAAGGATTGACTGAATGAACAGAAGAATCACAAGATTGACACAAGAAAGCATCGTCTGCTGCACAATACCAACGTGCCCTTTTCATTATGCAACTGTCACAAGCTCTTGCCGTCTTTGCACCTACGACGTTCGAGAGTTTTTTCTCTGAACTCGTCATTGATACATATATTGTTTCAGAATTCAGATTATATTCTTTTGAAATTTGGAGATATTTGAAAGTATAGGAATTGAACAGTAGGGGGAAGATGAGAGTTAGTGAAATATGTCGAGTTTGGTCTCTATGTATAGAAGGAATTGAAAATAATTCAAGATTGAGTGGAACGTGCAATTATTTGAGGAAATGCGGGAGCGTTGTGACCCAAGAAATGCACTTTTTACAGTGTTGAAGTAACTTTTTGTTTGTATTGCATTTACCTATAAACACGTTTTTAGTGTAAGAATTTTTGAGTCAGTCAGTGTAATGTACAGCAAATTATTTCCCTTATTTAGGTGATATGATAGTATAAGAAAATCAAGGATGGAGCTAGAGTATAATTTATAGGTTTAGTCAAATTCAATAACTTTAGTTCAAACTTTATATTTGCCTTGAGAAATTTATTAAATATGTACATAGTATTAATTTAAAACTCAATCACTAAAAAAATTAGAATCCCAAATATACTTATCGATATATAGAAATTACTAAATTCTTTTTCTTTTTCAATTTCTTGGACACACTTTAAAGAGTTTTTGGAAGTTTTCCCCAAGGAAGGGCATTCCACTTTTGGGACCAGGCATAGTGGCCTTATCTATTGTTTAATTGGCTAGGTTTGAAAAGTTCATCCTAGTATCTTCTTGCTGATTGGCTGCAACTCTTATCAAATGGATTTCAGATAGGACCCTTGATTACTGAGTATGATAATAAGGGTCCAGTTGATGGGATTTCTATAAAAGTGTCGCTTTCTAAATTTGAAGGAGACACTTTTGTAAGATTGTTTCCTTTCAATTATACTGCTGTCTATAAGTACAAAAACTCTTTGTTGCGGTCTCCTTCTACTACCTTTCACAATTCATCCAGTTTGATCTCAAAAAGGAAAACAAAATTACGATTAAAATATAATTTTTGAATATGGCATGACAAGGTTTTCCGTTTGTAACTCGTAATATACATAAATGACTTCTTCTGATGTGATTGAATCAACTATTCTTGCGAGTCTTAAAAATAAGGATAAGTTAGCGTAATGTATACGGTCGAAATTAGGTATGTCCGATTTCTTGGGCTCGAGGGTCGCCTTAAGCCCGAGTTCAGGCAAGGTCGAGTTCGAGCTCGATAGACCAGGCTCGAGCTCGAAGACAGAGTGCAATGCCCGAGGATCGAACGATGAGTATCGAAGCCGAGTATGCTCAACCCCGAAATAATGCCGTTATGTATTTGTAACCGAATGAGCAAGATTCCTGCCACGTCCCTAAGATCATGGCGTAAATTCCGGAACAGATTTGTACGAATCCGGCCGTTAGACAGTTGTCCCAATAAGAGTCTTTACTGTAAATGGAAATGTACCTTATTTAGGGTTCCCCTATTATATAAAGGGGACCCCAATCATTTGTAAACATTATCTAATCATTGGCAAAGAATATATTATCCTACTTTTCTCGCTCATTGTCTATCAGAATTGTCCTTTAGCTTTATTGTTCTTGCTTTGTTGTTCTTGCTTTATTTTTCTTGCCTTATTGTTCTTAACCCATCTCGAGGTCACTAGACTCGAGGTCGATACTGCTTAAGTAACACTCGTTTGATTCACTTATTTCTTTCATTTATACTTTATACTTCTTGATTATTAATTGGTATTGAACTAAATCAGACATCTTTAAAACCACAAATCAAATTTAATTGCTACTCGTGTTTTCGAGGTAAACAGTTTGGCGCCCACCGTGGGGCTAAAGATGATAGTGATTATTTCAGTACTGATTCTCATAACACACGTTATTTTTATACTTTTTCTTGTCAAGAGTTTTTGATTCTCAGGATTAAACATGTCAAACTCACAAAACACACATGCTCATGACAAAGAAGGTCTTGGATTTCATGGTGAAAACAACAATGTAGGGGTCGGTGTACCACCGATAAACCCTGGGGAAGTGCCAAATGTGGAACCAGTTGATGTTAGTTCGCACATTGCTTTGAATGCAGATTTAGGCGCAGACCCCGGAGGAAGTGTACGCAGGGAAGACCGATTTGGGGGCCAAGGAACACAAGGTATAGGAGATGAGGGAGTCAGCCTCCAAATGATATTCGAGATGCTGCAATCTCAGCAGATTGGCATCGCTCAACTTCAGAGTCAGAATAAAACTCCGAGTATAGCCGAACCAGAAAACAGTCGACGTGCTGAACTGGCGCCAAAAAAGTCGAACAAAAATGGCTCGGGGACTGACCCCATCATTATGAGAATGCTCGAAGAGCTCACCAAGAGGATCGAGTCTGGGGAAAAGAAGATTGAAGACAATGACAAAAAGGTGGAAACTTATAACTCCAGTGTTGACCAGATACCGGGGGCACCTCCAATATTGAAGGGTTTAGATGCCAAAAAGTTCATACAAAAACCATTTCCTTAGAGCGCGGCTCTGATGCCCATACCTAAAATGTTTCGCATGCCCGATATACCCAAATATAACGGTACAACCGACCCTAATGAGAATATTACCTCATATACTTGTGGGATTAAAGGAAACGACCTAAATGATGATGAGATCGAGTCACTCTTGTTGAAAAAATTTGGGGAAACTTTGTCAAAAGGAGACATGATTTGGTATCACAACTTGCCTCCTAACTCTATTGATTCGTTTGCTATGTTAGCAGACGCACTCGGGAAAGCACACGCCGGGGCCATAAAGGTGGCGACGAGGAAATCGGACGTTTTCAAGATAAAACAGAGGAACGACGAGATGTTGAGGGAGTTCGTGTCTAGATTTCAGATGGAGTGAATGGAATTACCACCGATCTCGGATGACTAGGCGATACAAGCTTTTATGCAGGGTTTGAATAAAAGGAGTTCGATTGCGTCTCGATAATTAAAGCAGAATCTGATTGAGTATCCAGCTGTGACATGGTCAAACGTGCATAATCGTTATCAATCAAAGATCAGGGTCGAGGATGACCAGTTGAGAGCCCCCTCGGGTTCAGTTCATCCTAATGATTGGCATCCAAGCCCTGAGGGATATAGACAGGGAATCGAGGTCAAACAAGGAACGGTATCAACCGTATGTCGATCGGAGAAACAACGGCTCGGGTCGTAACGCTCCTCGGAATGATTGGAGAAATGATCGAGGTCAAAGCTCTCGGGGAGTCATGAGTAAGAATGGGTTCGATAAACATACCGACCCCGCGGAGGCACCTCGATTGTCGGAGTATAATTTCAGTGTAGATGCATCGTTGATTGTGAGCACGTGATTTTTTCCCTATGTGAAATACTCCTACAAATTAAATTAATAGATTTTTCCAATTTTTTGCAATTTTATAAGATTTTTGTAGGAATTTTGTTAATTGTTTGCGTTTCTATGCATGTTTACTTTTATTAAAATCATGAAAATATACCAAAAATACCATGCATTGCACTTAGATTTTGTTTCCATGTTTTTAGGATTAATTAGTTAATTAATTACTTTACTAAAATGAAAATCACAAAAACATTGGCTCATTTTTATATTTTTTGTTTTTAAGTCTTAGAATAGTGATTTTTCTCTTTTAATTTAGGATCAAGTAATTGTTATAAATATTATAATTAAATAAATAGTTTAATTTTACAATTTAGATTAATTTAGGATTTTAATTTAGGATTTTTTAATTAAAGAAAAAGAAAAAAAAGAACAAGGGAATTAAAAAAGAGGGCTTAAATTAGTGTTGAAATTGGGCCAGTTTGCACCCGGAATTTTCCCCAACCCAAGCCCAAATGATTAATTTACCCGGACCCCCCACTAAAACCAAACGACCTCGTTTTCGCTTCGTTTCATCACGACCGTTGATTTCGTGTGATCCAACAGCTGTGAACTCAGTATTGTTTACGTATAAGACTGTCCGAAACCCTTCACCCCCCCCCCCATTCGAACCCCCTCATTCTCGTCGCCTTCAACCAAACCCTAAAAGACCGCCGCCCTAAAATCCTCCGCCGCTAACCACCACCGGAAATCGCCTCACGGCGGTCCCGGTGCTCCAAACACCCCCAAATTAACACCCGAAAATTTCCTTTCCCTCCCCTTTCCGAATCCACAAACCTCTTCTCCAAAAACACCACCCAAGTTCACAAATTTCAAATCTGAAATTCAACCCCAAAACCCTAGTTCACCCAAATCACCCAAGAACTTCACCAGGCCATCTCCTCACTCCCTTCACCCCTAATATCCCACTGGATTGTCCAAAAGGCCTCTTAAATTCGAGCAATTTCAGATCGAAAATCTGAAAAAAAAAAAGAAGAAAAAAACCTAAAAAGTCTACTCTAAGTTGATTCCGGAAGTTTTAATGGCTCAAACCTACATGAGTCAATTGCTTTTGACAAGAGCAATTGATTCATGTGGGTTTGATTTGTTTTCAAACTTGCCTGAATCCATTCGAGCTCCGGCAAGGTCCTCCGAGTCCAGTTTATTTCTTACATTAGCATAGGTAATTTCTTGCATTGTTTCTATTTCTTTTCTTTGATTTTCTTCATGTTTGTTGTTTTGTTTTTAGCCGCATGATTTAGGTTTCTTATTTTGTTCAGAATTATTTGTTTACTCCTGCGTTTAGTGATATAGACTAATCAGTAGTTTTTAGGTCTAAATATTTCTGTTTTTTGTCTCATTTCTGATTTCAGTTCATGATAAAAGAATTTAGGTTTAGTTAAAGGTTTAATTGAATTAGGGTTTGTTCCTTTGGTCTTTATTTTCTTTTGATTCTGGTCTTGTGGTGTTAGTCCTAGTTTGTTAATTAGCAGGAACTCCTAGTGTCTTAATTGAACAAATAAAAACTTAGGGGTCAATTTGGGAAATAGAAATAAGGAATTTCATATAAGTTTAGTGATTGGAAGCTTCTAGAATTTGGGGCAGCTGGCCCTATTTGGCCAGCACAAAATGCTGAAACCAATTAGAGGTTGACAGCTGTCCCATTTCTGTTAAAAAAAGATGTTGTGTGAGGGAATAATTCCCATTCTATTTTGACAGCACATGGCACTCTTTAGGGCTATATATAGACCCTTTCTTTCACACAAAAGAGAAGAGATTTTCAGACCCTAAAAACCCACCCTAAATGGCAGTTTTACTGTTCCATTAAGATCAAAATTCTGATCTGAAAGAGGAGAAGAG